ATCTAATGGAAAAGAAAATGGAAAATGAAATGGATACAGAGATTATACAGGGCTTGATACTGTTCATACGAGAAACCACTGCATGACCTTTAAAATCAACAGTGCAATATTCCAAAAGTATAAGGTACCAGGGTCATGTAGAACTTCAACATCGACTGTAGCAGCACCCGCCAAGATGGACATTAGCTCTGCATAGCCCTGAACCCTAAACCCTAAACTGTGTTTCCATTTGGGGTCAGAAACCTTCATGTACAGGGTACTCAAAGTTATCCTCTTTGGCGGGTTAGGGTTTAGGGGTCCCCCAGGTAAAAAACGAACAGTACACTCCCCCAAACTAACATGGAAACCCATATGGCCCCCTTTTAGAAGGACTGTAGTCTTTATAGGGCCCTTTTTGGGTTTCCATGTTAGTTTCCGGGAGTGTATTTTGGGGGTGCATGAGGAGATCCGTCTTGCTCCTAAACCCTAGACCCTGAACCCTGAATTGTAGTTTCCATTCAATTTTCCATTATCCCAGTATGTCCCCAATATAGCCCCCATATATATTCCCTAGTTTCCATGTCATCTTCCATTTTGATTTCCATTTGATTCTCCAGTATAGCAGCTTCCATTTTATTTTCCATTATCCCAATATAACCCCAATATCAAAGCTTTTGGAGGTTGAGGAGACAAAAGCTTCCAGCCTGTTGCCAGCCAGCTAGCAAAAGCCTGGGCGTCACGAGCGGAAGCCACAAGTCAGATCCCAGGGGTATACGGTTCGGCTTCCTGTCAGCAAGGAAGTTTAGGGTTTAGGGGACCTGTAGGATGAAGGTCGTAAGCTGTTGGGTTTGACAGGTATTAGGAAGGACTATGTATAGAGAAATCGGATCTGCACCCACCTACCCTCAGCAAGTACCAACCGCCACACTCTAAGATGGTGCCACATTCATCCTGTATATACCAAAGGGCGAACAACCTAAAAAAAAACATAGTTGTATGTATAACCCCTATATGAATTCCTATATAAACCCCATGTGATCATTATGGAATCCCTGTATGACCCTATGTAAACCCTGCAGAATCCCTACATAACCCTCCGAGAGGTTTATTCTGTCTAAGGTTGAAACCATGGACCGCTAGTATGGGCCCTTAACCCTAACATCCTTATATACCTACTATCTACCCTATATGTACCCTTAAGGGTCCCTCGAAGCCCACCAAAAGGCCTTAGGTCCCATATTAGACCCTAAACCCTAGATTCAGGCTGCTATGTAATCCCCTATACAACCCTGTTAAGGAGTTTAGACTACAGATCATGTGAAGAGTTACCGTTTTGTTTAGGCTTAAGGGTTGAGAGGGTTTGGGATACCCTGAATATCAGGGGCCATTGTAATGGGTATCTAAACGGGATCCATTTTTTACAACCTACCATGTCTAGATTCATGGCCTGGTACGCCTGCCTCCTCAGGGTTTAGGAAGCTGTGAGGCAGGGTTTAGGGTTTAGGGTTTAGGGTAGGTTAAGGATGCTTCAGGGCTCACAGGCTAGACGCTCACCTATCCCAGCCATCACCCGTCCAACGCAGCCCCCCACTCTGATCACTCCCTCGCGCAAGGCACCACAGGAAGCAGAACAGTTCTCTGCAGTCAGGCTATTGTACTGGGTCTAACAGGAAATAAGAGAGTATGTTTGTATACGGCATGATATAGGGATCATACTCCCTACCAATCCGCAGTGCAGTTAAGGTTCATCAGTTAGGGAGTGAACTTCAGCAAGTGCTTAATCAACCTCTGCCAAGCAGTCCCAAACCCTCAGTCTCGCACCCTGCGCCAGAGGCGAGACCAGCAGACCTGCAGTTTGGTTTTTGTTGGGTTTAGTTTTGAAGGGCTTAAGGTTTAGGGCTTAGGGGTTCACTGTTTAGGGTTTACGGGTTTAAGGTTTAGGGTAGGTGTGAGGGAGTATAGTTTAGGGTCCAGGGTTGTGGTGTTGGTTTTACGCATGAAGAACGCGTTTTCAGGTATTTGTTCAATGGCTGGTTTGCAACTCAGACAGGAAACTACTGTGTCCGTATTCATCATTCCTATACCATCAAACAGTTACGGCCCAGGGATTGCAGGTGTTTACTAAGATAGTTACATATTGTTCAATAACACTAGCAACAACAACAACAACAACAATGACAATAGCAAAAACACTGACAAGAATAAAAATCATATGATCACTATTGATCTTACTGTTCTTACTACTCCTCTGGTGGAGTATACTGATCTTGATGGAGACCACCTTCTCTCGTTACGTATGCGCATGCCATGCAAGCCCGCCACTATTATCAGTGCCAATCCCTTCATACACACACATACATACACGCATACATATATACATATATAAACATACATATATGCATATATATATATACAAATATATGGACATACATACCTACATACATGCATACATGCATACATGCATACATGCATACATGCATACATGCATACATACATACATGCATGCATGCATGCATGCATGCATACATACACACATACATAATTACATACATGCGCGCATGCATGCATGTATATGCACACGTGCACATATCTATATACATATATATACGTATGTGTGTATACATATATATATACACGTATAGTAAGTTGTTTGGACATTATTACTGCAGGCGTGCGGCGGGCGTTTTCTCAGTCCCCTTTGAAACAGTGCCGTAAATGCTAGTCATGCATAGCCCATCGCTTCTGCCTGTTCTGGCGAGAGGTTGTATAGGAGTTCTCATGCGGAATATACTGAGCCTGCAATGCATCCCGTTCTGTAACAATATTAACGAAAATAATCACAATTGTTCAATACTAGCAACAATAACAACAACAATGGCAATAGCAAAAACACTGACAAGAATAAAATGATATGAACACTATTGATCTTACTATTCTTACTACTCCTGCTATTAGTGCTAGTGTTGCTATCCTTACTATTATACCTATTCTTACTATTCTTACTATACTATTCTTACTATCCTTACTATTCTTACCGTTACTAACCCTAAACCCTAAACCGATGAGAATTATCACAACACTCAGAACATCACAGTCAAGGTTTCGAGCCCCTAAGCCCGGAGGGACCCTCGCGGATATAGCGGTTTGGGGCTTAGGATTTAGGGTATAGGGTTTAGGGTCTAGGGTTACAGGGGCATTGGTGATTATAGGGGGATTATGGGGGTCACCTTTTAGGGATTCTTGAAAAATTCTTCTAAGAACCTCCCTTGTAAGAATTGCCACGTCATTTTGAAGTCTACTTGCGGTACCCTATACCACCATTATACCAGGAACGTGAGACCATCATGTTGGAAACTTAGGGCCCTACATTAACAAAGAACTGTTAGTGTAGACGTACAGCGTTCCTCAGCGACTTGATCTCTCATGCTAATGTACGAAGAGCCCTTCTTGCTGAACCCTCCCTGCCCCAGCTTTAGGGTACTTATTTTGAGGATAATGGTACATTAGGTCTGCGATGTGCCTCCTATTTATGGAATGACCATTTCAGCAAGGCAGTACCCGCCTCACTCGTCTCGGATCATGTGTCGGTGCTTGCCGCGCAGCTGGAGCGCCTGACCACGCCAACGCTTCAGGTTTGCTGTTGAGGATGTTACCAGAAGATGGATGATAATACTACGGACATGAACATTCTTAACATTACTCGTACTTGTCGATTACCATTGTCAAGGAATACCCGCGTTCACCCCTCCAGACGCATAGCTGTCAAAGGGCAGGGCTTCAGCAACATGCTGGGAGGGTGGAAAACCTAGCTGCCCTATACTTCACTGAAATACACCTGCTTCTTTGTGAGAAATCCAGTGACAAACTGACTAACGGCACCAAAACCCGAAAGCCTAAACCCCTAAAGCCTAAACCCTGTGTAAAGGATCTAAGAAGGTCCCAGCCTTCACAAAAGTTTGGAATCAAACAGCAAGCGCATGTGAGGTATAGTCTAAACACATAGGGGATTATATCCTGCATATAGGACATTATTATAGGGGTTATTAAGAGGAATACTAGGAGTTTAGACTGTAGCTCATGTGGGCTCAGCCGGGATGTGGGGATGCCCTCAAGCTTTCTGCACGACATGCTGGGAGAGAGCAAAACCCGTAGTACATGCTTTACACACTACACATTATTCTTCTTGATTTTCTTACTCTCTTTATTGTTGCCCAACTCCGTCTACTCAGTCCTTCCTCATTCCAGACATGCCTCATGTCGGGCAAGAACGATGATGGGCAGCATCGAGACTCAAACGCAGAAGAAAATGGAAAATCCAACTGTTAGGGATTTAAAGGTTTAGGGTTTTAGGGTTTAGGGGCATGATTCATGGTTTAGGGATAATGGAGAATCAGTTGGAAAAGAAAAGGAGGAATTGAAATGGAAACTGAGATGATGAAGGGACCGCTGACCTGAAATGAAAGCCCTCCTCTGCCCCGTGATCCAAACGGAAACCCTAAACCCTAAACCCTAAGCCCTAAACCCTAAACCCTAAGCCCTGAACCTAGTGCAGTTTTGCATTGTGTGACCTTCTGGCAGGCCACATGTGGATGAGCTTCAGTCTCCGAAGAGTGTGGGTTTAGGGTTGACGGCTTAAGTTTTAGGGTTTAGGGTTCAAGGTTTAGGGTTAGGAATTCATGTTCCATGTCCTTTTCCATTTGATTCTGAGTTGTCCCTATACCCTAAAAATTTCCATTCAATTTTAGCATGCATACGTCCGGCGCTGGAACCCGGGGACACCTCCAAGCCGGAAGATCATCCCCCAAGGCTCGACCTGTCCACCCTGGACACAGAGTCTCTCCAGACACAAGGATTTAGGGCTCAGTTCTTAGACTCTAAGGTTTAAAGCTCAGTTCTTAAGATTTCGGGTTTAGTCCCTAAGGTCCCCTAAAGCGTCACGAAGTCAACCTCACATCGGGCTTCTGTCACCCAGGCTCATGAGGTAGACTTCACTTGCGCATGGCCCTGTTACGCAGTCTACCTCACATCGGGATTCTGTCACCCAGGCTCCTGAAGTAGTCTTCAATGGTCCATGGTTCAGGCACCAGCTCTTTGAAGTCCTCCTGGTCAGGTGCTTCAATGGGATAGCCAACCTTCTCCCAATACCTGTGCATGGCCACGAAATCCGGCATTATGAAGCCCATGCTCATCAAGCAGGGTCCCATCACCGGTGTGTACTTCACCTCTGAGTTTCTCAAGAGGGGTGGCTCCAAGGGACTCTGGTGATATCTGGGGATTTTCATGGGATTCCTGCGGATACGTGAGGTTCTACTGGGGTTATACGGCACCCTATAGGGATCATGTGAGCTATTGTCTAAACTCCCTAGTATCCCCCTTAATAACCCCTACAATACTGCCCTGTATAATCCCCTATATAAGCTCATAAAGGAGTTTAGACTATAGCTCATGTAGGGATTTCTTTTAAGAAGCTCCCGCCTTTGCTTCTGCGCCGATGACCTTGGCGTAAGCCGAGCAAATCTCTGCACCGCTCAACTTTTGACTCGCCAGGTTGATGGTCTTGCCGTGGTATTCGCAGGAGGTGTCCTTAGGGGGTTTAGGGTTTAGGGCGCTGTGGTATTCGCAGGAGGTGTCCTTAGGGGTTCAGGGTTTAGGGTGCGGTGCAATTCGCAGGAGGTGTCTTTCGGGGTTTAGGGTTTAGGGTGCTGTGGAATTCGCAAGAGGTGTCCTTAGGGGTTCAGGGTTTAGGGCGCCGTGGTATTCGCAGGAGGTGTCCTTTGGGGGTTAGGGTTGAGGGTGCTATGGTATTCGCAGGAGGTGTCCTAGGGGTTCAGGGTTTAGGGTGCTGTGCAATTTGCAGGAGGTGTCTTTCGGGTTTTAGGGTTTAGGGTGCTGTGGAATTCGCAAGAGGTGTCCTTAGGGGGTTAGGGTTTAGGGCGCCGTGGTTTTTTGCAGGAGGTGGTTTACCGACAAAGCTGACCTTGATGGCAATCATTCCATATCCATCTGAAGCAGGAGTCAATGCCGTGGAACCACCCTCTTTAGGGGTTTAGGGTTTAGGGTGCCGTGGTATTCGCATTAGGTGCCTTGAGGGGTTTAGGGCGCCATGGCATTCGCAGGACAAGGGTTTAGGGTTTAGGGTGCCGCGGTATTCGCAGGATGTGTCCTTAAGGGTTTAAGGTTTAGGGCGCCGTGGTATTCGCAGCAGGGCTTAGGGTTTAGGATGCTGTGGTATTCGCAGGAGGATATATAGGATCCGCTTGTCCATTCACTACTCACCACTCCCAAGTAGGTGTCCACTATCTAGAGCTTGTCACAAGTTAACCTTTTGGTTGGTTTACATCAGACAGGTGCCCATGCTACCAAAAACTTCACCCTACCCACTGGACAGGTAAGTGTCTGACGACTTGGCAAAGCATGTTGCCACAGCCACCCCCAGGTCCCTGCAGCTCACGTACCACATCTCCATCGCGGAATTGTTTGCTAGGCCTGTCACACTGGTTCTTGTCAGTCCCCCAAGCTCTTTGTCCACAAAGTTGTCCATCAGCGTGACCAGTCGAAGCACCGTCCACTTCATCCCCCTACTTTTCAGCGCGGCCTCGATGTCCTCTTTCACCTTGAAATTCGGCATTGAATATCTTGCCCCCTGGTGGCAGCCTGCTACCGAGCTCATAGCAATGTACTGCACAGTTCCACAGGCCTCCAGGAAGTCAAGCATGCGGTTTGCGGCTGCAAGCTCTTGAGTGCAGAAGCTGCCCTTTGAGAACGTGCCCACCTTCTCATTTGACATGAGAAAGACGTGTGTAGGCTTAGCATCAGCAATCGCTGCCTTTAGAGTGGATTCTGGGCGCGCGTCCTCCATGTCACCTATGACAAGATTGACACCTTGCTGCTCAAGCTTTTGAGCAGCTGGGGATGTGGAGTTGCGAGTCACAGCATAGAGTGTAGCACTGCCTCCAAAGGCGGACAGTAGCTCGCGCGCGACAGCGCCGCCCTGCTTGCCGGTGGCACCAAATATGAGGATTCTCTTTGACATACTTTCGGATGTACCCTCAAACTTGAACCAACATCTGGCTTGGGCCTGCTGCGGTGCATTGCAATGACTTTGGACCCAAGCTCTCAGCAGAAGCAGCAGATGAGCTACACCTGGAACTTACTGTTGGCTCGTAGGGAAATAGGGAAGGAGGAATCAGCTCCTACATGCCTTCTGATGATCTTCCCTGTAACCCATTCCGTCCTGAGCACCAGTAAGCTAAACCGTGAAGAGACCCGGCCTCCGCGCCAGGCTTCCTGGAGAGCCCATGGGCGTCCTGGAGGGTCCGTGGGCCATCAAGATCCCTTTGCAGGGGGTATAGGTTTAGGGGGGGATCATGCGCATAGGGCCTATACAGGCATATGGTAGTTTCCCAAAATAAGGGAACCCCAATATAAACCCCAAAATACTATAGTCCTTATTATGGGGACCCCCCAAAGTAATACCCCTAATTTTGGGAAATCCCCATATATGGCTTGAGGTTTGAAGTAGACTCTGAATCCTGAAGCACTGCAATCCTCAAATCCAAAAGCCATCTTAATCCATCCAACACCCAGAGAACCCTCAAGGGCCGCAATCCGCCCTACACCCTAAATCCATGGTGGCTTCCGTTTTTTGTAATTGATTTTCCAACACCCCAGCAACCTGGGGACGAAAAGCCCCACTTTGTGAGCATAACTGAATTCTATGAAGAACTTACGACCTACAAAAAACGAAGAAGAGGCCCCTATATATCCGGATAATTCTCTAAATCCCCAAATAACAACAGTTTTCATTTCATGTTTCATTTTCTTTTCCAGGTGATTCTCCATTATACTGGGATAATATAGTAACTTAAACTATCTTGCTTGTACATTCGAATTGTCCCCTTGAGCTGTGGATTATTCACAAACATGTGAAAGTAGGAGCCACAATGACCCTAGCACTATGCCCCTGACGACCTTCTCAAAAGTCCAGGTCAAAAGCCTTGAAACCTGAACCTGAGGGTGTATGGAGGTCTCAATTTTGAGCCGGAATCAGCTGAAGTGTTTACGGGTTCCCTGAAGCACGCCCTCTACGCTAGTTCCCGTGGGATCTCCCAATTAGGATCATTTAGCCTAGTATAAGGGATTGTTCACGAACCTATGAAGTGTACGACATCATCTTCTCCATCATGTGGTCTTTCACGTCTAGACCCATCCACCCTGAGTGCTCCAAGCCTATTTTGTCCTGCACAGCTACGCAGTACATCTTAAAGTCTCCAAGCTTAAGAACATCTACATCATGTTTGTTGCTGCATTGCCGTTACCCTCTTCCCAGTACCAGAGTTTGGCTCTCGACCACAGCGGCCATCCTAACCGTTCTATTCTTCTATTGCCATTCCAAAGGTCCTCCGTACCCCCCAAAAAATATCAAATGTTCCCAATTCCCAATACTCAACAAGAGCTTATGTTTCTTGGAGGGCATGCTTACTATGACTTGGGAGGTGATTAATCTAAGGGGTATGACATCTGCGGTGCCATCGCTCGGAAATTACCCTGATCCCTTGTACTCCATATGGTAATTTCCCTAAACAAGGGAACCCCAATATAGACCCCAAAATACTACAGTCCTTAAACTGGAACCCCCAAAATGGTACCCCTAATTTTGGAAAACCCCCATATATCTTTGGCATCCATGAGGGGCCGCCTGTCTAGGGAACCCCGGAGCCCTCAACCCTTCAACCCGACATATCCCTGTAGCCCTGGAAGGGACCGAAGCGCCATTGCACTTAAAGTAAAAACTTGGGTACCGCCCCCAGTCAGTAACAGTTGGATAATAATT